CCGCGTGGGGGCGCCCGGGGCCGGCGGCCTTTCCCGCGGGTCCTGCGTTCAGACCGAGGGCCCTGAATTCCACTCGGAGGGAAAGGCCCGCGTTCCTCGGAGAGCCCTGCCGTCCGGGTACAGAAACCCTAGGAGGTCTCGGTCAGGAAGGGGAACAGAATCCAGCCTGTGTGTCTGGTAAAGGCAGGAGTGTTCCGTAGCCTTTCCAGGCACCCGTATTCTTTGCGTGCCCTAACTTGACAAATAGCAGTGGTTAATTGTAGTGCAGAATCTGAAACCTATCAGTGAGCTTTTCTTAACGTGCCACATTAAAATCCGTTCACCTGTGTACATTGAACACTGATTTTTACTTATTTTTAAAATGTATTATCTGGTTTAACTTTAAAAATTTTTTAGTTGTGGGACAGCACCCCAAGTGGATTGTATTTAAGAGTATGTTTATGTTTATAAGAAGTCACCGAACTGTTTTCCAAAGTGCCTGTACCTCGTGGAGTCGTGCCAGCAGTGAATTAGAGTGTCTGTTGTTCTAGCTTCCTACCTGCATTTCAGTGGTCCGTATTTTGGATTTTGGTCGTTGTAATAGGTGTGTAGTAATATCTCGTTGGTGTTTTAATTTACAGTTTCTTAATGACGTGTGTATTAATCTTTTCATATGCTCACTTTCCCTCTGTCTCTTCATCTATAAGCTGGTGAAATTAATCATATCTAATAGGTTATCTCATATATTTCCTGTTATCTGCTTTCGGATTCCTATTCCTACAATTTGTCAGAACATTCCTTGACTTTAACTTCATGTGTTGAAGATCATTGTAAAATCCATGTTTCAAAGAACCACTCGAGCAAGTGGTAGGATCCACTCTTAGGTAATGGAGCTAGTACATTATATCCTAAATCGTAGGTGATGACTCCATATTAATAATTTTGTTCCCAATCCTGAATCTTCTCCTATTGGCTGTGGATCTTGCCAGCATTTTGTAGCACTTTGATGTAAGAATTTTGTACTCTCAAAGCAATTTTTTGCAGTTTCTCCCTAGGCAAACTGCAACACAACTGTACTGAATTGCTTCAGCAGAGACCATATTTGGAATTATATCTGTTATTACAATCAATTGCCGGATTGAATTTAAAACAACTCTGCCCTTTTCTGTTGCTTACCCATCATTTTATAGGCTAGACAAGTCAAATAAGATTAGCCTATGACAGGAACGACCACTCTTGTTCAGCTTTCTCATGGGGGACTAATTTCTATATTCAGAAAGACTGTGGCTTAATGTTTTGGTGACAGTAGAGATGATCTTTAAGGGATTCCATTTGGCCCTTTCTGACATAACAACCTTCATCATGTGGGTCAGGGAGGCAAAGTATGAATTTCACAACTTATTACTTGTGCCTCTCATACAAACTGCTCCCTATGGGAAAGAGGTGATGTGGTTGATTTCTAGACCCATAGATACAGTCATCTGTTTGAACCTAAATTTCCTTGAGACCTTCTAAGCACTCATTTTTCCTCAAGGGAAATAGCAGTATTTTAAGTTTTCAAAATTCAAATTAGAGTCAGTCCATCATTCACTATTTACTTATTTATTTTTAGTACATGCTTGCAATGCATAATGTTTACATTCCTTGTGAGGATTTGGAGCATATACAGAGCACATCTTCCTTTTTTTTCATTCTTTTTCCCTCCCCTCTCTCTGTGTCTTGGTTCCCTTCCCCTTTGAGAAAGATCTAACTCCCTACTTGCCATTAACAATCTTTCATTTTGCTCTTTATTTTTACTTGGGGTTTTCCATGTAAAGGAAACCATGTAATATCTGTGTAATGTTTGTATCTGATTGATTTCACTTAATGTTATGGTTTCAAGACACATCCATTTTCCTACAAATGGCTCACGTTTTTCTTTCTTTATGGCAGAATAGTACTCCATTATGTCTAAGAATCACATTTTCTCTATCCCTTCATGTGATGAAGGATCATAGAACTAAATGTTAAAATAGAAACACTTAACCTGCTGGAACATAAAATAGATGCAATTCTTTAAGTCATGGGCGTAGGCAAGGACATTTTATACAGAACCCCAGTTGCACAAGAATTAGTGCTAAGAATTAACAAATAGGATTGTATCAGTTTAAAACGTTTCTGCACAGCAAAAGAAACTGTCAGCAGAGTGAAAAGAAAACCTACAGACCAGAAAAAACTGACAGTCCTCAGACAGAGGACGAATATCTAGAATATATAAAGAACTAAAAAATATTAGAGCTCTCCTAACAAGAAATTGAATTTAAAATGGGCAAGTGAAATGAAATTTATCTTTGGTATTTTTGCCCTATTCTGTTTCCTTCAGAAATAGCAATATTTTTGGAAGTTGAATATCTCCTCCCCTCACTTTTTTTTTTGGTATTTCATATGTATCTACTTTACAAGTGAAACTTTTGCCGGGCTGTGTTTTGTTTTGAATCCCTGACAGCTCATGAACTTGTAGCTCCCAACTTCTGTGCATGAGGTGCTAAGGCGAGTAGGCAGGGCTTTTAAAGAAGTGCGCAGTGCGATGAGCCACCCACAGCTATGTAAGTAATAAAAGAAAGCAAGTTTGTAGTCAAATTTAAGGCGAGTTGCTGACTTTTAAAAAATTTCTTCAGGTTCTCAACTTTCATTCCTTCAAATCGTATTTCCAGAGAAACTCCAAGGAAATGCAAGCAATAACTTACAAGTAAGATACATAAAATTTTTTACAATATAAATTATTATATGAAGTTTCTTATTTTTATTGTATTAGATCAGCATTATAATACAAGTATAAATATCTAATATTACTACTAACAAAGGTCATTTAAAGTTTTATTTAGGGGATGGGGGAGTGGGAAGGGTAGGAGAACAGAAATAAGGGAAAAGAAAAAATATGAGAAAAGGAAAAAATGGAAACGAAGCCTTTGCACATAGGGGAGGTGGAGGGGCTGAAGGGAGGGCAGGGGTAAGGGGAAAAATAAGAACCAAGATCTGTCATGTAAGGCTACAAGATCCCAATGATGAATGTAACTGTCCTGTATATCTAAACAGTACCAGTAAACTTAATGAGAAAAAAAGTTTTACTGATAAAAGAAAATATATAAATAATAATGCTCTGCTTTGTTCAAAATTTGTCGCTTCTTCATGGTAAATTATTTGTAAAAGTTCAAATATAGAAAATAATGTAGAAGAATTAAGTGTCTTCTCTAAATGCTATCAAGGAGGTACCTTAAACATTCAGGTGAGGAGAATAATATTGTCCAAAACAACAGTATCTTTTGACACAAGTTTTCTTCCTCACTCTTGATCCCTGTGCCTACCCATTCCCAGGCAAGAAGAAACCTTATACATTTTACTATTTTTATTATGAAGGGTAGTACCTTATTTTATTCACTGATTTATTTAACAGCTAGATCTCTATAGAATTGCCTTGTAAATATACGAAGCATCCTAGGAGAGTAAAGAGAAAGAAGAAACTGGACAAACCTGATTTAAAGTGGCCAAGCTTTTGATATGCTTTGTGTTTAGCAGATTTATTTAGGCATAACTTGTTCACTGCAGGATTCGTAAGTGCACAGTTCAGTGTTTAGTATGTAACGAGGGTTGTGCAAACATAATCACAATCCAGTTGTAGAATATTCTCATAACCCTACAACTTTCCCTCCTGTCCTACTGTGGTTTATCTCTCACTCCAACCCTAGCTGTTACCAAGAACTGCTCTCCTCTCTGTCTTCATAAATTTATGCTGCTTTTTTTTGACGTTTCCTATAAAAAGAAATACAATATGTAGATCTTTTCATCAGATTTATTTCAGTCACATTTACCTATTCTGCAGCATTTACTGGTCATTCATGTTTACTTCTTAATTAACAAATGTGTATCCATTCACAGGTTGATGAACATTTGGACTGGTTTCAGATATTGATGATTATGCACAACTATTTTATGAACATTCCACATGTGGACATGTATTTTCCTTTCTCGTGGGTAGATTCTTAGGCATGAAAGAAGGAGTGAAATTCTTGCTTGAAATTTTTAGAAACTGCCACATTGTTTACACTTCAAGTCAGCAATATAATTAGTTTTCTAGCTTGTGAACTTTGAATGTTATCCGTCTTCTGGATTAAATCTGTTGTGAGGGTAGAATGATATATCATTGTAGCTTTAAGGTACATTTCACCAGTAAATAAGGATATTGAACATTTTGCATAAGTCTTTTAATCTGTTTATATGGCTTTCTCCCAGGTATTTATTCAATTCATTTATCTGTTTTAAAATTATTTCTTTATTTTTGAGTTCTAGGGTGTCATACTGTATTCTGGATATAAGTATTTACCAGTTGTGTACATTTCATTATTTTACCCAACTTGTAGTTTGCCTTTTCATTTTCTAAAGTGTTTGAAACATACTTCCAATTTTGATGACTTTTTGTTTTGTTTTGGTACTGGGGATCAAACTTGGGTCTTTGCACTTGTGAGGCAAGTGGCAGAACCACCGAGCTAAATCCCCGGCTTTTTATGACATCTTATCATGTTGTCTTTTATGGAGCTTGCATTTTGTAATGAAAAGCTCCACTGTGGACCTGAATTGTGTCCTTCAAAATTCATATGTTGAAACCCTGACCTGAAATCAACGTGCTGCCCTGATGATCTTGACTTCTGGGCTTCAGAATTGAAAAAATAAATAAATTTCTGTTGTTTGTGTCACCTATGTTACATTAACTCACGTATTTTACTATTTCTGGTTCTTTGAGATACCATCTGCTATTATTTCTTGTAAGTCTGAAGGTATTCCTTTAGTGTTTCTACTAAAGCAGGTGTTTGTGTCTCCATTTTAAAACTCTG